AAGTATATCATTTTGCTATAGTTTTATCATTTTTGTAGCAAAGATAGTCCCTACAAAAAATCGCGTGTCACCTTTTTTCTATTCGAATAATATACCAAAAGATGCAGAATTTCAAGGGCTTTCAGAATCTCTGTTCATTTTTCTGGGATGCTCATGACTTGGCATGACTGAAGGCTAATTAATGCCTCACAGACGACCATCAACCTCAGACCTTTCTCCTTGGTGGAGAAATAATCGTTCACTTGAAATCATTTTTATACCTATTGACATAAATGATTGTGTGGAGAAATGTTTTCTGTATCTTAAAGGCCTGCTCAGACTCTGGCCGATGAACTGTGGCAGAAAAATCCTCAAAATACTATCAAAATCTGAAAGAAACTATTCTTACAAATATTTATAGTTTATCTGCAGAAAAGTGGGAGATTGTCACCCTCGGCTTTTTTCACAGGTACATCAGAAAGACCTAATATTTTAGATTTATAAGTTTCACGATTTGACTTAATGTTTGAGCTAAAAAGATCCAAAAACAATTTTAGCTCCGAACAACTTGGGCGATCTTCTGGCGAAACCTCTCTAAGCTCAAATTTCCTAGGAGAGCTGAGCTACTCCTAGCTTTCGCGAGATATCCACTAGTATCTCATACACCTACACTTATACTCACACGAACCTTTTTTTTGGTCAATCAACTGAGTTTGCTCAAGTTTTGGTTGATATTCAATGTTCATGAGTTTGTTTGGCTGTTCGGTTGAACTAGACACTATAACTGGTTCAAGAAGAGGGAACGGTGGCTGTGCTTCTTTGAGTTGTATAATATGAAGTCCATTGCCAGAATCAAGACATGATGTGACCTGGAATTGTCGTGCAGGTAGCAAAAGAATTTCATCTTCGTTCTGTATGAATGAATGCTTTTTAATGTCTTTTCCGGTTTCGCAATCGATTTGGAATAAGGTTCGTGTTCCCGTTTTTCCGAAAAATAGTTCACATTCAAGCACTTTGACAGACGACGTACACGATGAGAAACCCCACCAAATGAACGTACTCCCTTGCGGATATTCTGCTCGTAAGTCATTTTTGATTCCGCGTACAATAAAACGACGTTCGGATGGAAGGCGAGTTAATGCTGTCAATATTAGTCGAAGATAAAGAAACCAGGGAATGAGCTTTTGTCTTTCTTCTGATCGTAAGGTGTTGTTGAGAATGACATAGAGGGAGTTCTCGTGCGGCATTGATTCCAAGGTATAGAGCATAATAGAAGCAGATTCGTCACTTGTCAGACCATCTTCTGGATGCTTGCAATTCTGTTTGACCAGATACACATTGCGCTCGACTTTAGGTACAATGCTAACGAGAGGTTTCACAGCTTCTTCCAGCGTTACTATTGGCATATTCTCATAGCCTTCGATGGGGGCTAGCAGACGTTTTGGTAAAGTCCCAAAATCTGCATAGCGAAGAGCAGTATTAGAGGTGCTAGGAGTGCTAGAAGTGTTACTCCCCATCTGAAATCAAAAGATATATCAAATATGCTATCTATCATGACCCGTAACAAGAGTATTCATGAAAAGCTGTTTGAAGATCATTATTTTACCAGATGATTTTTCGAGAAAAGCCGGTGCAAAAATACTGAAGGATCTAGATGTGCGTATGAATGTGCCTTTTCTGCTCATCCACACCTACAAATGACACCTTCCAACCACACCCACACCCACATCTTCCTACTTCGGCAACACATAGACATGCTCGGACCGATCCCAGAGCTACCGAAGACGCTCTTCTGAATGAGACCCATATGTGGGGGTCTCCGACGAACATTAACGCGAGAAATAAAATCTTGCAATCTGATTGGTTGGTTAAAATGGAACGATCAGAATTCAGAAGAATTGGGATTGGGTGTAGGTGTGTGTGTGTGTGCGCGAGATAGGTGGCATATATAGAGGACCACACTCAAACCCACTCACCTATACCAAGATCCATATGCCCATAGCTGACAGCCCGTAGCCACAGCCACATCTCCTTCCTCGCACCGCACTAGTCTCAAAAGAGCTCAACGAGTGAAGGCAGCTGAATGAGTTGAGAGGAACTGTCACACATCCTCAATTTTGGGTATAATTGATATGAGAGAGCATAGCAAATTATTTAAACTAGAGTGCCAGTATAGACATGAATTGGTGGAAATAGGAAGCATAGAGGAAGATTGGAAGCTACACACTTCTCATCGATCTACATCCCCAGTGTTTCATGGAAAATCAGCAAAGCTAAGTACTTAATAACTGTCGACGAAGAAACAAAACATGCATATTAACGTAGGATTGAAAGAACTATGCGTTTGTGTGAGTGTGGGAGTGAGTTTGGGTATAGCTATTAGTAAGTCTGTGTGGGTTTCTAATTATTCTTGACTTGTGCGTGGATATGAGTTATTTATTGGCGTGTGCATCGATTTTGTTAGTGTGTGCGGAACTATTTGATAAAAAGCATTCTGATTAATAATGTCTAATCTAATAATCAGCAACCTATTCGTTTACTCCCGAAATCTGTTCACAAAACTTAGTGTACAGTCGCCACTACCAACTCGGTAATACCCACGGAGTACATATTGGCGGAGCTCGAAAATTATTATCAATTGATAGATATTAAATGCAGTTATTTGAAAAATAAGACTTCATCCCAACACCTACTTTTAAATGACGCATGATTTTCTCAACTTGCTCGATGCACCTTTTGAGGAGTGGACATATTTGAGAGAACAATAATGGTAAATAATGGTGAAGATGCAGTAGCGGAATGATAATTGATATTGTGGAATGCGCTGTACTTAACAAGTGAATAAGACTCCATGGGTGAAATTATGTAATAGAATGATTGCTCAAAAAAAGATATTTATCAGTATATTGATATTAAATTTCTGTGTAATGAAGTAATCTTCCGCCAAGTTTAATCCATCAAAACTGTCCAAAAGCAACTTTTTGTCAGTCTGGTCTGGCCTAGCTAGGTCAGTAAGGAATGCAGGTCGGGCAAAAAGTGAACTACTTTGCTTGTAATCTAGCTTGCTGGCATTTGAGATTAAAGCATAGAATAGATATGGTGAATATTTTTAATATATTGGTGGATATAATAGCACAATATGCGCTCGACATTTTCTTAGCCATTGATGCTAGTTTCGATCATATATTTAGTTCTTCTTATTTCAGTTGATTAAAGTTCAACCTCCGCCACTAAGTAGCAAATCAAAAAATAAGAAATTGAGGACATGAAGAAATAGCCTTACATGTGACAAAGAGTATGCTTTCAAATCAACTCTTATTCTATCAGCGATGTGTCATGAAATTGAAAAGATGTTTCTAATTAAGAAACTATACACATAGAAAGACTAAAAACAATGTTCATATCAGTCAAAAATATACATTTCTCACATGCGTCTGCCCAATGATACTGAGTTCCATGACATTTCTAATCAGTTCTATTTCTGTGTTCTAAATTTCTTCTTATATTCTATTAAAATTTTAGAGTAGCTCCATTATAAGCCAATGTGAAGCTAGGAAAAGAAACCATCTAGTGGAAAAGATTATCTATAATCAAGAATAAATAAAGTCTTCGAGTTGAGATGCACTCATAGACTTATGGGTCATCTTGAATCCTTATTGCTATTGAGAAACTAGACTTAATGAAAAAGTTCATACTTTTAATACACGTCCATGTGATTCATTATAGGAAATAGCGAAATCATACTTTCAGTGCAGCTTACGACGTGGCCTGAACAAGTTGTTGGAAGTTGAGGAATAGAATTCGGACTATTCTTAGAATAAATGTATGCCATTTTACCATTGACTATTGAAGTTAAATTACAACTTTAATTTCAAGAAAATTACAAGTATTTTAAACCTACATTACTACTTCGAATCAAAATCGAGTGACATACAAGAACAGCTATCCGGATGTCATCCAGACCACAAACTTCGCTATGGCCTAGCCTACACTCTAAAAAAAATCCGTTTATTATGGAACCTGTACCCAGGTGAAGAACCTTCGGGTTTCGTAGCGGTTTTCTGAACCTAAAAAAGTTCAGTAGATCAAGATCTAATATTTTTTAGATTCAGAAAACCGTTACGAAACCCCGAAGGTTCTTCACCTGGGTAAAAATTCCGTAATAAACCGATTTTTTTAAGAGTGTGTACAGGTCAGGCTCAAATCGATTAGGGCAGCAGCAGATAAGGTCAATATTTTGGAACCCATTCTGGCAGGCACCTGCACGCTACCAGGTCAGACTGGCAGCTTTGTAACCAATAATGCATCCATGAATGAATAGAGATTGTCGAATCTATATATTTCTTTACATCGGCATTTTTCAATATTTTGTCAAACACGCTCGGACAGGAATGTTGAAGTACAGGGGAAGACAAAAGTTCTGGGACGAACTTTTCCCTTTTATAACTTTCAATTAGAAATCTACTACGTGTCAATGGTGGTGTGCTTTGATAGATCTAACAGAGGCCTTTTATTTACTATTAGGTTGAGGAAAAAGTTCGTGCGCCGTGTTATTAATATTTTATAAAAAGCTTTAGGAAATTTTTTCTCTATATATTCTGATAGTCCAAGTCGTGCTCTGTAATTCTACGATATTTCATAAATCTTCAAAGGATACTATAATATTGAAAATATAGCAAAAACAGTGAGTAGTTTACAAAAAGAAATTTTTTGCCTGATTTTTAATCGATTTTCTCTTGAATAGTCAGGCTTGTGATCGAAAAAATAAAAATATTTGAAATCAGCACAAAAAA